CCGGCCCCGCCAGCGCCCGCGGTCCGGCCCGGGACAAGCGCGCCGCGCGAGGCCTCCCTGCAGCCGCCGCTCCTCACCTGTCCCCAACCTGCAAGTCCAACCGCCGGCCCCGCGCCCGGAGGCGGTGAACGAGGCAAACCCCGAGGCTCACCGCGGACGCGGAGCGACTCCCTGCGCTCGGTCCCAGACCGAACCCGGCGCCCGCCGCCCGCCAGGTCCTGAGGGCTGACGGCGACCGCGGACCGAGCAGCCAGACCGCTGCGGCGGCCACGCGCGTCCTCCTCCTAACCGCCCCGCAACACCCGTCACCGCACCACGCGCTCCTCTCCCGCCGTCCGCGCACGTCTGCTCAAGTTCCGGCCACTCACAGGCTCCCCAGTGTCCTCGTCCCGGTTACCGGGAGGCTCTGCGGAAGGCGTTCTTCAGAGAAAACGAGCCACGCCGGCAGCCGCCCGCGCCGCGTCCCGCCGCCCGCGCGTCCGCTCCCTTCCTCAGCTCCGCGCGAGCCGCCCGGGATTCTCCTCAGCGAAGAAATCCAGCTCCGCGTTCCGTTCACTCGTCACATCCGCTGCCTCCCAGCCGTCTTCCACAGCCGCCCTCACCAGTGCCGGGCCGTGGGGGGGCCGTGGGGGGCCGTGGGGCTCCTCTTCCTCGCCGCCCACCCACTGAGCAGGGCCAGCATCTCTCCTGGGGGCGCCGGGCGAAGCGTCACCAGCCCCTCCGTGCACTGCGCCTCCCCAGCAAGACCCACAGGCGCGCGCCGCCCTCCCCTCGGCCAGCAGACTGTGCCGGCAACCGGAACGGTCTTCTTTCTGCAGCTTACTGAACATTCGACGGCAACATGACAAGCTCCCCATTTCTAAGCGCAGTCGTTGGGGTTCCCCCAGTCGTATCAAGAAACCGGAAAACAGGACACCCTTACTCTCTCCGCAGACTTTCCTTTTTAACACATCCAATCTGTATTATGGTAACATATGCTGTGTTTCCAGTCTCCCACCGGGCAAGTGGTAGGAGAAGCACACGTCAAATTACAGTAGGAAATGGTTTAATCCTCTCCTTTAATCAATACATTTCTGAGGTAGCTTTAATTAGGGCAGTGGAACACACACTTCTGAAATAAAGTAGCAAAAAAAGAAGCAACCAATTACAGTGATCAATGACATCTGCAATTCAAGTTCATTTACCGTTGAAATACAGCCCAAGTTATACGCTGTGCAATGATGAGAATATCTGGAAAAATACCTTTTTGAAATGTGGATCAAGATACTCAGTATAACTTTTAATCAAACCACAGCCACAAGAAACCTTCAATCTTCAAGGACTAAAAACACTGTGGCCAGTTATTCAGAGAATGACAACAGAAATGAAGCAAAATCATCTTTAAAAATTAGAAGAACGTGATTACGGCAATGCAAATTTACAAACATTTAAGATCACTGAGATTCCTTAAACCATATTATAATTCTATATGATACATTATGTACAAGAAGTTTTTTGTTAACTATTACCATTAACAGTTACAAGGTATCAGATTCAGTAAAATAAAATCTGAGAAGTAAAAAACACTCCTTGTAACCAGAAATATTATAGAATACTAATTCAGGAAGTCATTCAGCAGCTTATAAAGAAATAGGAAGTTGTTGACCACCTACTTGAAGAACCATTTCCTGCAGGAAAACTGTAAGACAGCTGAAGAAGGCAGTAATTCTCAGAGTAATACAGAGAAGAATTCTTTCGAAACAGAAGTTCCATATACAATGTTGACAAGATCAGTTTTAAAACAGTAAACTCTTGAGCACAAATATTACACGTAATATGCAGAATTTTTCACATACTTCACAACCAGAGCTTAAATACGTGTTGGTGATAAATGTGGTTTCCTACCTTACCACTTGCCAGGCTAAGAAACATCTTTTCTCCAGATCTCACTGAGCTACGGAGGGCTTCAAAAATAGCAATGATCACCTGCCTATAACCCTTCAGTAGTTATGCTGCTTTGAAACTAGAAGAGGGGCTGACGGGCTTCAGAAAGTCACCCACCTACGGTCACAAGGCGACAACTGGTTTCCAAAGTCAACATTTCTATGTTTTCAATCAAATTACATCACCTTACATGTTTGGACCATTCACAGATTTCTTCATGCCAAATATAAACCTCAAAAAATTATATACTTTGTAACTTAAAACTTAGTTCCAATGATTATCTAAAAAGATGTACATAAAAATAAAAAAATAAAAAGGTATTTATAGTAAAATACAATTTTTCATTATTAAAAGAGCAGAAAGTAACTAGTGTAAATCTGCACTATACATCTTTTTTTTTTTTAAAGATTTTATTTATTTATTGGACAGAGAGATCACAAGTAGGCAGAGAGGCAGGCAGAGAGAGAGGAGGAAGCAGGCTCCCCACTGAGCAGAGAGCCCGATGCGGGATCCCAGCACCCTGGGATCATGACCTGAGCCGAAGGCAGAGGCTTAACCCACTAAGCCACCCAGGCACCCCTGCACTCTACATCTTGATGGCAACAGAATCTTCTGCAGACACAAGAAAAATATAAATATTGTTCCCCAAAAGAGCCTGACTTGGAAACATCAAAACCAGGATAAAAATGAACTCAGACAACAGGAATTTGGCTCCGAAAGAAGGTTCGTTTACCATCATCTTTGACTCATAGTCAGGACAGATACCAATGAGCTCATTTACCTGTGCAGTACACAAAAATAAGTCACTCATGGCAACTGATACAACCCATAAAAATCACAAAAATAGCTAACAACTGGATGTAAACTTTTTGTAACTTCTCCAAATTATGTATGATTCATAAAGCAGATACCCTTTAGAAGAATACAAAATTTTATAAGCCCACAGTAGCCATCGTCCACAAACCAACATTTAGGGGCCCTCTCTACAATTCCTCACAACCACCAACTAATCCATGGTTCCACCTATCCCTCAGGAAAAATCCTTGTATTTCTGAAAGGTCTGATATGAGAAAATTTGTCCATGGAGTCCCAAATCTTCATGTTTCTTATCATATAATAAGCCCAATTTAACTTCTATGTGAAAGTCCCCCCCAAAATCCTAAAGAACAGCCATGCTTTTTGGTTTTGGTTTTTTTAATTTTCTCCTTTTCATCTGGTAAGAACAATCATCTTTTCTTTCTCCTCTTTTTTCTTTCCAGGTAAGTTTCTCCGCACCCCCTACAACCATTTTTCACATGGCATAACTTTCCCTATCATTTTGGCCTGGTTTACCTTCCCTACAGACCCATTCAACTGGGTGTTTAGGTGGTGTGGTATAGACGTGTCTATCCTTCCTTATCTACCCTTTATCAATATCATTAAGAGACACATTCCTTCTCAGAGGAAAAACCACTGGAAACTTTTTAAAATGGACACACAGAGTATTTATTTCAGGTCAAAATAACAAGATCACTCAAAATAACGAAAACGTAGGCAGATGTCACCTGTAAGCAACTGTTACAAGATACAAAAGACTCAGAAGAACATAACCGCTGCTCTTTAACCTCATACTTTTAGCTACAGCATCAGTCAAAGAAAGGAGGCAAGCACGCTATTAAGCTGTTTGAAAAACCTCCCCAGGTCAGCACGTGACCCAGCAGGGAGAGGTTCAAAAAAGTACAGCCTTTCTTCTTCCTTCCAAGGACCTGGTCTGTCCCTTCAAGGCACATCCCTCACAGCTAGCAGCTCTTTCAATCATGGACTTTGGCCGTCTGCTTAAGAACAGACGATCTTGCTAATGCAGATGAGTTTGCCAGACTTGTGTGGACTTTCCAGTCTCAGGCCCTTTACTGTCCTGGCTGAAACCTGACCCTTTGAAATGGATACCAGGACACCAGAAAACGAATTTTAAAAAGAAGAAAAATGTTACAGGAGAGGGGGGCAAAAAACGGTAGAAACTTTTGAAGATGAAACTTTTTTTCTTCACTCTTCTAAGCAAGCCTCTCTGAAAACCCTGTTACATTACACACCACTGCCTGGGAAGACAAGCACTATACTTACTAAGACTCACACAACGAAACAGATCACTAATTGTATTATCTGATCTAACAGACAGATGTTACATTTGCCGGACAAGTCCACTGTCAAGACCGATCTCAATCAAAACTTGGATTGGTTTTAACTTTATTATCTCTACCTGATTAAACAACAAGAAGCAAGCAACTTTTAAAAAACATCAGTTTCAGTCTATAATTAAAAAGTTTTTTATACACTTAAATCCAAAAAGCCAGATAAAAATACTTAGGTATTACCTACAAATTCAAAGTAAGAAAGGATAAAAACTTTGATCTTTTCAGCCTGAATGAAATTTTGCCATTTTGTCAAAGACAAGAAGTCTCATAAAAATAAATACCACAATGGCCTTGTTTTTGTTTTCCCAGAAGAGGATTCTGTCTTGAGGACCTGCTAGCTTGAAGGAAGTTTGCCGTGGAGCGACTGTATCAACCTGAAAACTCCTGGTTCTCTGTAGGTGGGGGGGGGGGGGGAATCAATCACATCAGACGGCGGCTAAAGGATGTGTCATTTGACAACCTCGACTATTGTAAAATCTGACTCCCAAAGAAGACCTACTTACTTTGTAGTTCTTCTCTGCCAATAAAATGTTCATTTAAAGAGATGTCAGCCTGTAATTCCCACAATTTGAAACGTTTCATAGTATTCTTTCAGTTTTAAGCTAAGCTAATTAATAGATTTGGAACAAAGTCAAAATGAGAATATTCAAATTGCCACAAAAGAAAAGATTATTAAAAGGCTCTGAACCAAGAATCAATCAAGCTTTTAAGATATAACCCAAGCTGAAGCAAGTAATTATTACATGTTAAATGAAAAAAAAATTATGTGTGCATGTGTATACATATGTATATATCATGGATCTCTATATTAAGATAAAACTAAGTTTGACATAAAGTAAAACATACAAACAAATGACTTTTAAATCCTGATAACACCTTCTTGAGCTTTCCACAATGTTCACTCACTTTAAGAAGTATCTCTGACCAGAGGACGTCTTTGCCATCTCCCAGCCCGCCGGCAGAGGGACATCATCAGGGATCTCAAAAGAAGACTGTCGAAGGTGCTGAGCGGTGGGGGTCGCTGCTGGGCCCGAGACCACCCCGGTGGGCGTTAGGCTCCCTGGGGATGCGGCGCCCAGCTGCAGGGAAGCAGGTGAGGAATGAGCTCGAACATGCTGCGGGGTCAGGGCTCCTCCGGTGCCCCCATCAGTACTGGCCTATTGGGAAGAATAAGATAAAAATTTCTTAGAAATTATTTTTAAAGAGGGTCTCTTTAATCTTTGACAGGATTTCATGGCAACCAAATGTCTAAGTACCAAATGCAAAAATTAAAGTTTGACACAAAGGAATATAGGTTTATAAGTGTGTATTTTTTAATGCTTTGTGTGATTTTAAAGTGTACTCACACAAACATTTATAACTTTACAGATTAGCAGTCCATATAAATTAAGCTCTACGTAGCACACATTAGATGTGCCTTCTGTATATTTTAAAGGAAAATAGAACATAATGAATGGAACATTTCTACAGTATGTTGGATTTAAAATGTAATGTTTTTTGAAAAAAATCTTATTTATTTGACAGAGAGATAGCGAAAGACAGGGAACACAAATAGGGGAGCAGCAGAGAGAGAGGGAGAAGCAGGCCTCCTGATGAGCAGGGACCCTGACATGGGGACGCAGCCTAGGACCCTGGGATCATGACCTGAGCTGAAGGCAGAAGGCAGATGCCTAAAGACTGAGCCACCCAGCTGCCCTAAAACTTAATTTTTTTTTTTTTTTAACAGACTTTATTTGAGAGAGAGAGCACGAGCAGGGGTGGGAGGAGGGGCAGAGGAAGAAGCAGGCTCCCAGCAGCAGGCTCCCAGCTATCAAGGAGCTCCACTTGGGGCTAGATCCAGGGACTCAGATATCATGACCTGAGCTGAAGGCAGATGGTTAACCAACCGACTGAGCCCCGCCAGGTGCCCCTAAAACTTAATTTCTAAAAAGACCTGGGTATTATGGGTGCTATTCTGAGTTCTGAAATGTCCCATGTATAACACAACCTAAGGAATACGGTAACTATACCCTCTCTCTTTTCTTGTTCAGCTAGCTTTTAAGTGGTTCGTGTTTCTTTCCAGGCCAAACCCTAAACACTGGACAACTGCTATTTTTTTCTCACCATGGACCAACGGCAGGGCCAATGCCAAACTATGTGATTTTTTTTTAAATTTTATTTATTTATTGACAGACAGAGATCACAAGTAGGCAGAGAGGCAGGCAGAGAGAGAGAGGAAGGGAAGCAGGCTCCCCGCTAAGCAGAGAGCCCGATGCGGGGCTCGATCAGGACCCTGAGACCATGACCTGAGCCAGATGCGGGGCTTGATCCCAGGACCCTGAGACCATGACCTGAGCCAAAGGCAGAGGCTTAACCCACTAAGCCACCCAGGCGCCCCAACCAAACTATGTGATTTTTAATGAAAGCAAGAGATTCAGAATCATTCAAATGCTCTTAAGACATCTAATGAAATGAAAACCCAACCATGTATTCCTATGCAGATGAAAAAAATGAAAACAGCTCAACTGCAACAAAAATATACACATGTAACTACAATGGTGGAAGGGTAGAAAAAAGTTTGCATCCAGACCCCAAAGATGGGAGTTCCAGTCTGCACAGGCTACTGTGACAGTGAACAGATACCAACCTCTGAGAGCCTCACTTCCGTCATGTGTGAGAGCTTCTCTCGTACATGTGTGCGTGTGTATATATGTACATACATACACACGAACGGACCTAAGCCAACCGTCTGTAGACAGTAGTATTTATAACCCACATTCACACCATTCACAATCCAGCACAGCCATCTAAATTCCTCATTAGAATTAGGGTTTGATTACTAAAGTAAGAATTTCCTTGGAGACCAGAAGCAATCAGCAGAGGCATTTATGCCTTAAAGTCAGCCCCACTGCTGAGTTTCCAATCAGAATAAACCCGAATTAGGACATCACTAGCAGAACTAAAAATCAAACTTACAGAGGCGCAACCCCTCCTTCAGAAACTTATTAAAAACAAAACTAGAGATTATGAATAGAATATGAATCCATAAGCTGCTGGACATAATTCTCGTGATTATTTACTAGAATTTTGCAACGTTTCAGTTGCGGGTCTTTATGGCTTACAGATGCCACAGAATGAGAAACTCACTCTCCTACGTGTCTTCTGCTTTCAAACCCTACGGAGGAGCGCGCACCCGACTGTGTCGTCCATAACAGGCAACACCAGCACACGTTTCCCCGGAATGACTCCAGGGACCCACCTCCAGGCCTGGGAGAAGGAAAAGTGTCCCCCCCCCCCCCCCCCCCCCCCCCCCGGCCAAGCTGCAGTGCGCAGGCCGGCAGCTCCCAGGTTTCTCCTTCCTGCTCCCCAAGCCGGCCTTCGCCAGCAGGTTCCCAAAGCCCTGGGTCTGCGGCAGGAGGGCGCACAACAGGCCTGGCAAGCAGGAGCGGAAGGGGAAGCGGAATGGGGGCGCTCACTCTTCTTCCCACTCAAGTTACAGCCCGACTGGACCAACTGCATCGCAGTATTTGGAAAACCAATTAACTTTTGGGCAAAGTTCCTATGCTCAAGTTTAGCCTGAAGCAAGTTCTTTTCAAAAAGAAAAAGCAGCAGCAAGGCAGGCCTAAGCAAACAGATGTGGGGGAGCGCTGGGAGTGCGAACCCGTTCCCGACAGTCTCTCCCCGGAGCCGGATCGCACCGGCCGCGGAGCGGGCGCCCTGCGCCAACGCCGCGCTCCGTCCCCGGGGCGGACTCCAGAGCCAGGGCGAGCCGCCGATTAGTCATCGCTTCCCCAGCAGCGCGCGGGGTCGCGGCGGCGCCACGCAGCCCCGGCCCCCGGCCCCACGGCCCCGCGAGGTCCCGCTCCCCTGCGCGGCGAACGCGCTCCCCCAGGAGGCGCTCCTCGAGTCCCCCCATGAAACCAACCCGAGTCTCCGCAGGGGCCCCAGACCCCAGAGTCCCCCC